ATAATAAGACAGACAGACAGACAGACAGACAGATAGATAGATAGATAGATAGATAGATAGATGATAGATAGATAGATAGATAGATAGATAGATAGATAGATAGAATCTATAAATTTATAGATCTATAGTATCTAATCTATCTTCTACAATATATAGATAATAGATAAAGACCGATAGATCTATAGATAGATAGATAGATAGATAGATAGATAGATAGATAGATAGATGATAGATAGATAGATAGATTCTATAAACCTATAGATCTACAGTTTCTTAACTAATTTCTCTCTCTCTCTCTCTCTCTCTCTCTCTCTCTCTCTCTCTCTCTCTCTCATCTACAATATATAGATAGTATATAGATAAAGACAGGCAGGCAGGCAGGCAGCAGATATATATGGATAAATGATATATAGATAAATAGATAGAGAGATATAGATAGAGAGATAGATGATAGATAGATGGATGGATGGATAGATAGAGAGATAGATAGAGATATTCTATAAATCTATAGATCTACAGTTTCTTAACTAATTTCTTTCTCTCTCTCTCTTTCTCTCATCTACAATATATAGATAGTATATAGATAAAGACATATAGATAGATCTATAGGTAGATAGACAGACAGACAGACACAGATAGATCTATAGGTTGACAGACAGAGCAAGCCTCCAGCATTCAGAGGCCAAATTCATATTTCAGGTTTTGCTACTTTTTCCTTCGGGCAAGTTTCCTGCTTGAGTCGATTTAGACTTTATGTGTCACCTGTGATTACGCACATGATAGACCTGACCTTTGGAAAGATCTTTGCCGTGACTCCGCATGACGTTATTATGCCAGTGATTATGCGATCTGTCACCACCAAGCCACCCTGGAGATGTTCTTAGTCTTCCAGAAGTAATAGAGTATCGGTCCTATGTCTCTCCCGCCCCAGTCTTACCCTTCCTTCCATGGTGCAGGCTTCATCTCACATCGATTTGAGGTTCGTAAGCTCGTTCTGGAAGAGTTTTAAGGTTGGAAGTCATTCCCCCCCCCCTCTTCTATCTAGCGCCTTTTAGAATTTATTTTTTTTAGAAGGTTTCGCATTAGACCGACGTGATGCATCGTTCCCCAGCCCAACCATAATAAAAAAAGATTATTACAGATAGTTCTTGACTTACGACTGGTCGCTTAGCAACCATTTTGAAGTTCGGCCAGATCTATCGGTACGTGCGTCTGTGTCTCTGTGTGTGTGCTACTTACATCCTGGATGTGAAGCTCTGCCAGTTGCTCCCTGCAGGCAGGCCTCGATGTATGACCCCAACGGGGACCTAAATTTCCATTGCCAACCAAGCTGGCTGTTAAATGAGTCATGCCCATTTTACAATCCTTCCCCCCCCCCCCCGGTTCTTGAGTGTATCACTGTAGGTGGTTAAAGTGATTGGTGCGGTCTTTTAAGCAAATCCAAGGTTTCCCCATGGACTTGGCTTGTTGGAAGCTGGCTGACCCCGGATGCTGCAAACATCCTAAGGCACTTGGCTGATTGCCAAGCTACTATATTTTGGACCCGTGACTGTGAGGATGCTGCAAGCATTGCGTTTGTCCCTGTGTTTCAGTGCTGTTGTAACTGTGATGATCCGGGGCAAGGCACAGAGGCAACACAGTCGGCTGATAGTGTTGTGGTTCGCCGTCAGCCTGCGCAGACGGCAGCGGAATCGGACTGTGGGAAAGAACGGAGATCAGTCCAGGAGTCTGGAGAGGACTCGGACGAGGGTTCTGCGTCCGATGCAGAGATGGGGCCAGGACCATCTGGGAGTGGGGTGCTGACTCCGGAGCCTTTGGAGTCTGGCAGCAGCGAGGCAGAGGACCTAGGTGTGCGCAGAGCTGCTAGAAGGCAAGAACAGCTGAGACAAAAGGGGCGACTCGGGAGTAAGGCTGGGAAGTGATTGCCCCTTCCCATAAGGTATAAAGGACAGGCAAAGGTAGAGAAACCTTTGCAGGAAGCAACCTTGTTCGCTGTATTCAGATTAAACCTTAAATCTTGTGTGGACTTTGCACTTTGTTTGGCTTTTTACAGTTCGTTTGGTACTTTAGTTGTTGGCAGCAATTCAAAGGAGATAAAGGTGGGTGCTTATCTTGAGGGACTGTTTGGGACTCATTACCGGCTGGGAATGAAAATAATTCCCAGCATTGAAATAAAACAAGAGTTTTTATTATTTGGTCAGAACAGATAGTTCAAATTGCCCCTTTATTGCTCCAGCTTTCCCCCAAATGCTCCCATGTTGATGGCAAGTCCCAGAGCAAAGTGATCTCTCTCTCTCTCTCTCTCTCTCTCTCTCCCTCCCTCCCTCCCTCCCTCCCTCCCTCTCTCTCTCTCTCTCTCTCACACACACACACACACACACACACCTCCAGCAGCTTCTAGCTGCAAGTAGCCCAGCAAAATGCTCTGAGCACAATGGCTGCAAAGCAAGAATTCCAACTGGGCAATGGAATGAGTCAATGTGTCCAGGAAGCAAAGGAACAAGGCAATTAATCCAGGGAGCAAGAAATAAAGCAAAAAGTCCAGGAAACTCCAAACATCGGCAACGGCACACAAAACTCCATGAATTCAACACTTGTTCCCGACAAATGCCCCTCCCCCAGAGCATCTCCTTAAGCCTCAGTCCCCAGGTGTGCCTTGTGAAGAGGGGCGGGGCGCTCTCCTCCCGAGTTGTCAGGTGGGCCTGGGCTGTTCCCGTCTCCACTCTCCATGCTCACTTAGCAACTTAGCAACAGAAATGTTGGGCTCAATTGTGATCGTAAGTCGAGGACTACCTATTAAAAGTTAAAGTGAGATAGAGATAGATAATATAGAGATCTAGATACAGATATACAGCAATAGAATTCACAAGTTTGTAGGCTTTACGGTTCTGGAGATTTTGTGATGATGCGTGAGTGGTATTTCGCATAGATAGATAGATAGATAGATAGATAGAT